CAGTACATAAGCGAAAAACATAATCATCGCTTGCACTGGTGCTTGGAAAGTCCAGATCAAAGCCGTTGCAATAGCCAAGCTCCACACCAGCCACATAAGAAACTTGAAAAAGGTCTTCCAGTAGACTTTTCTCTTGAATCTCACGTCTCGCTTTTGTGAGGGACGTATCTCCTTGGCCGATCCCACAGCAACAGCGGAATGCTGGCCCACAAGATCATGGAGTTCCTGGGCCTTGGTATCGATGAGAACGGCCCCTATGAGGTAGTAGGCCAATCCAAATCCGACTGCCATTCGATTGGCATCAGAAAGGGAGGTTGAGAGACCAACGAGCTGTCCGCCACTCAATAACTCAACCCATTTGTCTAGAAGGGCTATGATAAAGTACAAGATTCCACAACCTATTTCTTTGCTGGATTGGCGCCAATGGATGAAGGCATTATGCAACCGGATTCCTTTCTGGGAGTTCCGAAGCACATCTAACCCGACCTTGGTCTGGATATTCCAGGAAGAACTGAACGGAATCGGCCGGGGCACATCAGCATAACGACAGTACCAGTCTAGGAGGAAATTTGTCGAATCCCAATCTCTGGCAAGCTCGCGGACTAGTGTATCAGTTGTGGGCTTAGAGAAGAAGCTCCGGGAGTTCTCAGCCAAGACATCCTTGAAGAGAGCATCTCTTGACAGTTTCAAGACAGCCGGGTCACTCAGGCTTCCAAAAACCTTCTCATCGTTATTACCATATGTGGCAATATACCATTTCCGGATTTCCGTGTCGTCCGTCCTCCTGATGTTCTGATACCAAGTCACCCATTTAGAGGCTACTGATCGCAAGCCGAGAAGCAAAAATCCGATGAACACGTATAGCACAGCAAGATAAATAGCTGAATCGTGGCCGCTCCAAGTAGTGATGATAGGCGAGACGAAAAGAATGGGGATGCAGCTGAAGATCACTTTGCGTCCGGACAAGAAACCGGTTCCGGGGTAGCTAAAGCTGGCGAGGGTAGCGAAGGTCGTCAGGTAGATGGTCAAGGCGACGAGGTAAAGATAGAAGATAATGCCAGCCTGCGGGCTTTTCACGCCAGAGATAACGATGAATCCAATTAAACCGGCGGCAATTGTGAACGCAATGCCAGCAATTAATCGGATAAGGACGAACATATTCGAAGCTGCGAAGGCCATCGAAATGAGATAGTAGGGTCCTCCACAAGCGATCATTGTACCAATTGCACCAGATAGGAGAAGGGAAATCATCAAAGCGATAGTGGCACTCTGTAGCTCGTCATGGGTCATAAAGGCTGAAAGGTATAGACCACGGCCGATAATTGTGAGCAGAATGATGTCAATCAACGCTGGGAATGCGAAAACACCAAGGAAAGTAAATCGCTGGTAGCCAGGCATCGGCTTGACCTTGTCATCCGGGTTAACGTCAATTTGGGCGCCAGCATAAGATGTGGCCATTTCAGGCGCGCCATTAATCCAATCGGGGAGCTTCTCATCGTTGTACTCTCTTCTGAAACGATCCGAGAGCAGCTTTCCAAAGGCGCTAGGCTGAACATCAAAGTAGACCTCGCAGCGTGATCCTAGAGCAAACGATTCTGAGAAAGCAGCCGCTTGGTCTGATTGATTGTTGAACAGCGGGTTACGATCGGTCACTTCATTATAAATCTCGTCGATTGCTCCTTTCCTCGCAGCGCAGAAAAGTGCTAGTGCCATGATATCAGTATAAGCATCGATGTGATCATTTTGAAGCAGCTGGCAGAAGGCCTTCGATACCAAAGCAAGGTCTTCCTCGCGGTGCTCCCTCAGGATCTGAGTAAAAGCGGCATCTGTTTGATAGAATAATGCGAGACATTTGGAGGCAGACGGATGTTGGCATCCCTGTTCTCGATACCATTTGATGCGGCTATTAACCAACACTTCGGGAGAAGCCGAGCCTTCAAGATACGAGACGGTGTTAAGCTCCTTCAGCTGAGCGAGTGAAGGTGCATCAATAAGCAGTCTCCGAATGTATGCACAAATACTGTCGGAGAGCTCGCTGTATGAGTCGGTCAAGGAGAGATGCTGAAATAGAAGCAGTCGCTCTTCGGGGCTCAGCATGTCGATGTCTTGGACGAATCGGCGAGGAAGTCCGGTATCATCGCCGAGGTCCTGGGACCATTTGGCTAAAGCGGTTTCTACCTCAAAACAAACGTGGCGGGAGTATCCTTTTGCAGACAAGAACGTATGCAGTACGGTTCCTGCTAAACCTTGGGCTTTTTTCGAAGCAAAAACTTCAAACCCATCCGATTCCATCTGGTAAACTGCCCAAAAGCGCATGTCGACACTCTTACGAAGTCCTGAGTCCAGTCCAAGGTTGACCTGCAATGATCCGTTCGTTGCCAAAGTAGATAGTTCCTTGATGGAAGTCGCCAGTTGGTCCGAGGTTGCGTTTGTAACAGCGTAAGGATCTGAGCTGGTTGCATTGGGAAGCATATAAGATTCGTGAAATTTCTTGAGGAGTAAACCGATGCTCTGAATCTTGGAAGCAGGAACCGGATGGAGCAAGCCCAGTGATTTAAGGCGCAGTTGTGATTGAAGGACTTCGGCAAAGGCAAGTGCTGTCGCCTCAGATCCAAGCGGGAAGCAACCAAGAGAGTTGTATTCAATACCGGCCATTGATATGGAAAGTGGACTCCCCAGAGACTTCACCTGTGCTACCCACTCCGGTGGATCGCGGAGTTTTGTCGTCAGTTCGTTGTTCTCAGGTTGAGCATATTCCGACGAGGTAAGCAATTCTTCCAGGGTAGGAAAAAATGGCAACAATGTATTCCAAGCGCTCGTGTCGGATACATCGTTCTTGATATGCAAATTTGAGCGCCAGCGATCATGAGCTTTGATGATTTCGGCATCTTTCAGCCATCCAAAAGAGGGTAGAGGCTCTGAGATCTTGACGTTAAGGGCAGCGTTTGTGAGAGCCGACTTCTGGCCAATCCATGGAATCGCACTGTAAAAGTTACACCATTGAAGAGACCTTTGGACGACAGCATTCGACAATGTGGCATTGTCGTCGATTGTCTCCCACGCCATCACCACGAAATCTCTCACACAAGCTTCGGAGACGAACGCCTTGATAGTGGGCTGCATCTTCACGAGTTGAAAATAGTCGCGCTTCTGGCCTTCTGGCAGTATACTGGCATTTTGAATAACGATTCCGGAAATGGCAGGGCTCTGCATGGAGTTGCGATCCTTTAGAAAGTCTGGGGGTGCAGTCTCAAGGTAGACTGCCAGACCCAACTCATCGATCACCTCAACGAGTTTAGTGAAAACCGAGGCGGGAAACTTTCCTTCCCAATTGGCCAGAACCATACCGCTGAAGTTAGCACTATCGAATGTGCCTGTAAGAAGGTTGTCGATCTTTTCGATTGCTGACAATGTCGACTCATCCTTGGAGAGGACACGATCGAGGTCAACTCTTCCCAACAATTGCTTGCCCTCCACATAGCGAATTGCTTGGGCCGTGCCCGACTGAAAAGGATCAACAATCAACAGATCCCATTCGTTCAAGAGCCGGAGCTGATCCCGATCCGGCGGGGAACTGAATGAACCAAGATAGATACCAAAAGAAGACGGCTTGCGTCTTTGAATGTTTGGCACATTGAGCAACTTGTTGGAAAGAGTAACCAACCGTTGAGATACATTGGGCGGCACTTTCTCTGAGCGTGGCCTTGTCTGTGATTTGGATCAGGTGAGCGACAGATCAGATACGCATTCACAAGCAGATAAAGGAAGCTCTACCTTGATGTAGTTGCGCAGTCTCTTCGTGCCAGAGTACAGAAGCCACAAGGATCCTGTAGCAACACAAGCTATTAAGATAGCGATGAACACCTAACATAGCATTAGTCAGTGATATTTGAAATATATATGCAACCACTACTTACAAACTGCCACCAATGATCTTTCATTTTATCCCAGCCGAGGGCTGAGACGTGGAGGATTTCCGCCATCCTGATTAGATATTGCAGGCCAACCTCACAGGTCCGACCATCAAAACGAGAGACTAAGAGAGAAACGAAGGTGAAGGGATTAGAGAATTATGCCCTTGAGGGCGTATCACGTTAAAAGAGAAACAGTCAAAGTGCTAAGTGCTCATGACAACAAAGTGCCGCTTTACGGGGCCAAAAGTCAGATGAGATCACAGACCGTCGAAGGTGAGGCTGAACGAATGAGGATAGAACAAAAAGGGTATTCCCAAAGCGAGTGATCAAAAAAGAAACGAAGGGAGAACACGAGGGCACAAAAAGACAAAAAGTAAAGAAGAAAGTAAAGAAGAAAGATACAGCAAGCTGGAGACTGGGTGAAAGGATGCTACCCAGCATGCATTCATCCAACAGCCACTGTACTTTCGCTTGTACCTCAAAGGAAGAAAGCGTCCTTTTCCTTTTTTTTTAACAAAAAAAAAGAAAAAAGAAAAAAGAAAAACGCTTAGCCTTAGTTGGGTTGCGGATATGGCCAGTGTTCTCACTTCTAGCCTCTAATTATGGAACCACTCTGACAGTACTCCGTAGGGGCGCTTCTGAGGACTCAAGAGGCGGACAAAAATAGCCAGCGACCAACGACTAGTCTGACGCTAAAACATGTGAGGGTGTCGGAGGACTGCCAGATGGAAAGGATTCAGCAGACAAGGCCCATTATAGGTATAGTCACATCAGGATCCATCTCGGGCAGATGCGATTGAGACGTGGGGAGGGAGGCAAAAGCGTGGCAGTCCACCAACTCACGACAAACGTCTCGCAGAGCACCGAGAAAAGTTAGATGGAACGGTGACACTCGACCAGAACCAGTGATGGAAAGCCATGATGCAGAAAAGCGGACGGTTTGCCTCCGATTCCATGAGTACCAAAAGGAAGAGATTTTCTCCCCGTCATCGACCATTGGGTAGCACGATTGTCGGGACTCATGATGTGTACGGCCATTGGCGGTGGTCTGGCATAGTGGATTCGTGAAGTGTTGTCTGGATCAAGGCGGAGTGTCTAGAAAAAGTTAGTATGCATGGAAGAAAAAAAGTAAAACCGGATAAAATTAAAAATAAAAATAAAAATAAAAAAATATTGGATTAAATTAATAACCTACTCCGTATGTACGAGGATCCTAAAAAGAAAAGAAAAAAAGTTGGATAGCGGGGTGGAGATACCTATATACCAAACAAGGTTAAGTGTAGTTGTGATCCTGAGGTTCACTGGGTATTGTACGGTATGGATGAAGTTTGCAAAATTACTACCCTGCATGACCGTATTTCCAATTGAACCGTATTACCATAGTTTTATCATCGGGATTGGTATTGGATGTACCGCACTAGCCACACTCTCGGCACCTCCTGCGCTGTACAGGATTCAAATTCAATTCCTTCTCGTACCTGAACCGACTTTTTGAGGTTAGTTGAACCACGCTAAGACAATTAACACCAGTCCAACAGAACTGGAAAATCCTCTTCACACTAATACTGTGTCAACGAGTACATAATGATTATGAATCAAATTCAATCAATACGAGTCAGCCTGCATGAACCCGACAAGGTTTCTCCGATTGTTTGATCCATGAAATCCGTTCTCGATCTCCTCTTTCCCATTTCTCGTCTACACCCCACAGTTGGCCCCCCTTTCCTCCATCTTATCGCCTCTTGAGACACTGAGGCTCCATTTCAGGACATGGAGACCCTTTACTAATTGAAATCCGACCCTCGCCTAGAATATCGACTTGCCGCGGCGACTCAGCCCACTGATTCCGGGCCATGGCCGAGCATTTACGAGCTACTCCGTATCGCTTCTCTCCTTCCCTGGTCGCCCATTGCCTAGTGCAGGGTGTATCCACGATGTTGGCTGGGGAGCGATGGGGTATTCAATTTCTGACTACTTGGCCTGTTTGGTCTTAATGCAATTTCCACCCATGCAAGCCATCGGCTGTTATTCTACTGTGTATCCGTATCGCCTCCGTGGACTGAATCAATTCCACCCGTCCATTCTTGGCTGAGATTGCCTTTTCTGTTATTTTTATTTTTATTTTATTTTATTTTTAAACCCTCCCCCTTCCATTTTTCGGCAAACTTAACCTCTTGGGGATTTGCAGAAATCTGAGTCCAATTAAAATGAGTAAAAGTAGAAACCAAAAATTACTCCGTAGCCGACAGAAGTCCGGGAATACAGCAAAGAGCCCTATAGTGGAGCTCCTTCGGGGTGGACACAGAAGATTGGAACGCCTCTCGATCGAGCGATAGGCTCTGAAGCTCTCGATTTCCGCTATAGAATTGACGTATATAATGTGATTGTGCCCGCAGGGACCGACAGGAATCGTCGATCAGCAGGCATTCTCGTGGATTGGACCCCAACAGGTCCACACTGTCATTCGTTATCATTCGCCCCTCGACCTCTGTATCATTCTTTGTGTGTTTCCACATCCCCTCGGGTCCATTCAGGAAAACCTGGATCCAGCTTTCCAATGGTTCTGCCGTGGCTGCTGAGAACTGGCTGTTACTTCGGCCTTATAACTTGCGACACTCCCCCGGGTGTTTGGCCTGAAGGTATCCCAAGTGTCATCGCTCCTGTGCCGCCCTCACGCACATCCGGAGTCACGACCAGCTCTCCCGACATTACTTCGTCGGTCCTGTCGTTCACGTCGTCCCCTCCTGTCACGAGGTCATCGTCTTTCGTTACTACTACTTTCGCTTCCTCCATTTCCTCTTCTCCTTCCACCTCTCTACCTTCGTTTACTAGCACACTCGTTTCGGTCAGCACTCCTGCGAGTGCCTCCAGCACAATGTCTCTAATTCCTACTCCCTCGTCGAGTATCATTCCTTCCGCAACACCTTCTGCGTCGGTCATTGCCAATGGTAACGTCGCGGGTAACATCTTGGTGATTGCGAAGGACACCGCTGCCGCTAATGTGGCTACCTCGGGCCTCAATGGCTATGGTATTCCTTTTACGACCTTGCTCGTTCCCCAGTCTGGCGTTACCCTGCCCGAGCTGAACGGCACCGCCGGAGGAAACTTTGGAGGTATCGTGGTTGCGAGCGAGGTCAGCTACGACTATGGTGCCCAAGGCTTCCAGAGCGCTCTGACTACCGACCAATGGAATCAACTCTACGCTTATCAGCTCGAGTACAGTGTACGCATGGTGCAGTATGATGTGTATCCCGGACCCAACTACGGTGCCTCTGCCGTGGGTGGAGGATGCTGCGGCTCCGGCGTGGAGCAGCTTGTTTCTTTCTCGGATGTCAGTGACTTTAAGGAAGCCGGCCTGAAGACTGGTGCGGGCGTCAGTACGACAGGCCTCTGGCACTACCCGGCCACGGTTAATGACACTGCTACCACCAAGGAAATTGCTCGTTTTGCCGCCAACGGTAACTACGGTAGCGAGACCACGGCTGCAGTGATCAACAACTTCAATGGCAGACAGCAAATGGCTTTCTTCTTGTCCTTTGACACCACCTGGAGTGCAACTTCCAACTACCTGCAGCACGCATGGATCAACTGGCTCACTCGGGGTCTCTACGCTGGCCACCGTCGCATCAACCTGAACACCCAGATTGATGACATGTTCCTCGAAACCGATATCTACTACCCCAATGGAACGACCTTCCGTATCACCACCCAAGATATGGATGGGATCTCTAAGTGGCTTCCGGAAATCAACGGCAAGATGAACCCTGGTAGCTCCTACTTTGTTGAGGTCGGACACAACGGTAACGGTGTTATCGAAGCCGCTGCCGGTGTGGGTTACGACGTCTGCAACGGAGGTGGTATTGAATACGACTCGCCACCTGATACTCCGATGGAGTTCAAGAAGCCTCTGGGCACCGGCACTGATCTTTGGCCCAAGGACATGACCGAGTACAACTGGACTACTGAGTGCACGAAGTTGGACGATCTTTTCATCTGGTGGACCACCCCGGCCAACCGCGACCTGTATGGTCACATCTCTCACACTTTCACCCATGAGGAGCAGAACAATGCCACCTACAACGACGTTAAGCGGGAGATCTCTTTCAACCAGGCTTGGTTGAGACAGAGTGGTTTCTATGATGCCAAGCATTTCACATCCAACGGTATCATCCCTCCCGCCATCACTGGGTTGCACAACGGCGACGCCTTGCGCGCCTGGTACGAGAACGGCATCACCAACTGTGTTGGTGATAACACTCGCACACCGCTCCTCAACCCGCAGAACAGCATGTGGCCTTACTTCACTACGTTTGCATCGGATGGATTCGACGGTATGCAGGTGAACCCCCGTTGGGCCACTCGCATCTACTACAACTGCGATACCCCTGCCTGTACCGTTCAGGAATGGATTGACACCTCTGCCGGCAGCGGTGGCTTCAGCGACCTGCTCGCGACCGAGAAGGCCGACACCATGCGCCATCTCTTCGGCCTTCATCGCGACCCTTACATGTTCCATCAGGCCAATCTTCGCAATGTCGGCGTTGACCAGGTTGAGATCAACGGCGTGAAGGGCCAATGGTCCATCATGCAAGCGTGGGTGGAAACCATGGTGCAGGAACTCGTACGTCTGGTAGACTGGCCCATCATCACCATCACGCACCAGCAGGTAAGTCCTGGAGATCGTGGAATCCCTTCGCAAAACCCCGTAAATGCTAACTAATTACCCCAGATGTCTGCCAACTTCCTCGACCGCTACCACCGTGACCAGTGCAACTACTCCCTGCAGTACACCATCACCAACAAGCAGATTAGTGGTGTGACTCTGTCCGCCAAGGACAACACCTGCAGTGCCCCCATCCCCGTCAGCTTCCCTGTCGCCCCCACCGACACCAAGGGCTTCACCACCGAACAGTACGGCAGCGACCCACTCACCGTGTGGGTGCAGCTGTCGGGCTCCCCCGTCACTTTCTCTCTCTCGATTCCTATTCCCTTGTAAATGGATTTGAGCGAGGTTGAATTCTAAAAGGGCTTTTGAGGAGGATTCCTGAACGATAATATGTAATGTTATTAATGGGTTTTGTGTAGCGAGTTCAAAATAGGGGGCGAGATGAATGAATATTTGGTACATACATATATACATACCTACATAACTACCTGCATGCATACATACTACTTCGTACCACTACTAGTAGTAGTAGTACCTACTACCTACACGATTTCTCGGACGGCAGCGTCGCAATGAAAATCCCGTCGATCCTCCCGCCCGCAAAAAGCAAAGACGCGGCACAGCACAGCCCAACCTCAACAACCCAACCGGGGAATTTAGTCCAACCAGGCACCATCTTGCGAACTGGACTACTTCGGATCATCCAAGAACAGTCAATATGTCAGGCTTCTATGGAAATCCCCCTGACTCAGTATCCCCCCAAACATCCCACACACACACTCTGCTGCCCTCCAAATCCGAAGAAGACACCGGCAATAAGGCAAAAGCACCCCCTACATTGTCCGTAAAGAGTCTAATCCGCCACATTCAATATACCCGGCCTAGAACAAGCAGAGACCATTTCCTCGCAACGATTGCGCCTCCCCTCACCTCACCTGTCGAGAGCGAGATGTCAGCGGCAGTGAGACATGGCGGACTTGGCAGCATCCGTGATTTGATATTCGCGACCCAGGATTTCCCTGTTTTGATCCTTGTCCCCATTCGGCTTTTTTAGCGATCTCTAAAATTAGTCTAGTCGCCCCCCAAACACAGTGTCGGGGGTGGAAAGTACCAAGCAGGTTAGTATACTAGTATACTGAGGTTAGTGACACCATATCTGATGTATATTAATTAGATTAAAACAGCTGTCAAGGCCGATTTATAAGCATTGATTGGCCGCATTAGTTCCCCTCCGCGGAATGGTCTGACACTTGACTGGTATCAAAAATGGTTCAACTAAGTTTTGCTCCCCCACAACCACAACATTGCAAAAACCTTTAGGGATGGAACCGCATCCGAGGAACACAAGGGCCAAACAATTGCCCATTATTGGGTGAGACTTTATCGGGGTTTAACTTTGGGAATGTCAGATGATTTGATCTCATATCGGTTTTTTGGGTCGTTTTGACATTTGTACTATGCCACAAACGATAAATATATATATATATATATTATATATATAATGAGATGAAATGAGAACGCAGGGAAAGATGGAAGTTAATTCTCGATCCTTGTTACGTACATGACACAGCATATCCAGACACGTATGTACGACGAACTCTATATCTGTGCGTTCTTGACCACTCGACTGGGGGGCCGGTATAGTGCCAAGTGTGTCATTCTTGCATCAAACATAACTCGGAGAATTAATCTCGATCGTATACTTTTGGTTCTCGTATTCCAGCCGAGAAAGGGGGGAGGCGCAGGGCCGAGACTGAATCTACTAGAAACCAACACTGTACGCGATAAGATGAGCTGATCATGTATGGTGAGAGAGAGAGAAAGTCGAGTCAGGTCATACAGAGGCGAGAGCGGTCTAGGTGTTGGACGTCGGAAGATACCGTCGCAGCCAAGTTGGCTGTTGCCTTATTTGTTTGAATTATTGGTTCTATAATTCCTCCGAATCGATGTATATACTACTCATCCTACATATGTATGTGCAGCCACGGTAGTCATCTTCCCCCACGCCCGCTGCTCCAATAACGGCAGTAACTGTGCTGCAGGACAAGCTTTAGCCAACTGCCAGGGTCCAAGGGCTCTGCGCTGGCGGGATGTGACTGGTCCAAGGGCGCTGGGTTCTGGCAATTCGGCTGGCCGACTGCGGAGGGAAAATAGCAGCCTTTCCTCGGACTCAGATGACAACTGGATCATGGAATCAGACTCTTCTTGGCACTGTACGGACAACCTGTAGACAGTCTCGGGTAAAAGGGTGCTGTTTCCCTAGAGTTCTCCTAGTCCTAAGACCTAGTAGAAGGGAGGCAACTCCAGTCGATTGGTCGAGAAGAACGCATCGGCCAACACCGTGTTGGGAAAGAAGAAAATACGTCGGGTAGTCGCTAACCGCACCACTGAAACGTGGGAGTGGAGAAAGAAAGAATAGATTCGCCTTCATTTCGGTAGGTGGAGACCCTTGTCCATCAGTCCGAAGGCGAGAACCCGGAGGTCTATCCCATCTTGAGTTTAGTACTTCGGCCTGGGCTATTGTTTGATCTCGTCCGGAAACTTAAAGCCGTCAACTGGATGCTGAGCACTTGTTGCGGCTCGGTTCACTAGTCTCAGGCTAGATTCTATACGAGACGCGGCCCATTTCGTACAGATTTGGGAGACCTGAGTCAAGGCGTAGAGGCTTGTAGTGGCTTCAATTCTTGACTCTTCATGCATGAGCAAGTGACCCCGGTACCGTTTCTGGTATTGAAATTTTGCAAATAAAAGTTACGGGCGGGAGGTACCAGACCGTGTATGCTAAAACCGAAGGGGAAGAATACCATGCGGCCCACAATAATCGGGACTTAAGGGTTAGTGTCCGTGGATTGACAGTGGATTGATCAGATTCAACTCGGGTCCTCGCGAGCACGCCAAAGACTGATTGGCAGAGTTCCAGACAGGCAGAAAATCGGGAAGAAAAGGAGCCAAAAATCACAAAAAATCAGTCTCTCAAAGAAAAAGAAACCACCTGTCTGAGGGGAAGAATGACCTTTTGTCCCCTGGTTAATTAAGCAATTTTTTAGTCAGCGATCCCTGTCAATGCTCTTTTTCTGGTTTCTTCTTTTGTGCTGAGGGATGATGGTCAGAGCTAATCTCGTGCCAAAGTATGGAGACTCAGTGTTGGATTCCATGGCTATGACGGCGGGTAGCTTTTCTAGACCCAAAATAACAATTTGTTGAACAGAACGTGCTCACCATTAAAAAAAAAAAGAAAACATTTTCAGGCTGATGATGCGATTCGAACCTGGACCCCAAACATAATCATGGTTCTCCAGCCCGCTGACGGCCCTTAGACCCTGAGTCCAGAACCCTTATTGGTGCCTAAGGGTTCAAAGGGAAAAAAGAGGAAGATCACGGAGGCGAAACTGCAATAGTCACAACGCTAGGCTCCCGGGTTTTCTTATCCTCTCTCCCTCATTTGCTTTTCTTCCTCTTTTTTAAGCCATCACTCGTTAGAATCCTAGTAAGGTTGCACCGCAGGTGACCTCGAAACAACAGCCACTGTGGCAGAGTCCATTGTTTGGACAGCGACTGCCGCAGTCTGTAAGGCATTCACTTGCCTTTAATTCCAACCCACGGCAGGCGCCTCTGCATCCGATTCCCCGGATCACCACAACGCAATCTCTGAACAAGCCACTCGATAGTTTCAGTGTAACCGCCAAAGAGGGATTTCTTTGTTCTCTCCTGGCCTCTCCATTTCACGGTTGCCTAAGAACACCGTGATATCCTTACTCTGGAATACGCCACTTCACTTGCTTTATTATCTTATCGTTTGATCTTCATCTCAGGTCCTCTTTATATTTTCCCTGCGTACCCCCCACCTTACGGCTGTGGTTTGTGAAAATCAAACCGCAGGTCGTGACTTTCTTTCTCAGAGTTCCCTTCTTTGAACATTTTTCTTTCTTTAATCGCTCGTTTTATTGGACTTTTTTTTTTTTTTTTTTTTTTTTTTTTTTTTTTTTTTTTTTTTTTTTTTTTTTTTTTTTTTTTTTTTTTTTTTTTTTTTTTTTCTTTGTGAAACAGATTACATCATGGCGGGTATTGATGAAGCGCTGCCCTTGAAGGGCAAGGGACAAGCCGCGTCCGGCTGGAAGACTTGGTCCGTCAAGAAGCGCATGCTGATTATCGGCGCGGTCATTCTCGTGATCGCCCTCGCTATTGGGCTCGGAGTTGGTTTGGGAGTCGGTCTGAATAAGGGCGGAGGGGACGACGACGAAGGCGAGGTTCCGCCCACGACCGGAGGAGGCGTGACTACAGCCAAGTGGCAGCCGGCCGTAGGATCGAAATGGCAGATCGAGCTTCTGTACGCGCTCAACGACACTTCCGTAGACGCGGATATCTACGACATTGATCTCTTCAACAATGACAAGTCGACCATCAGCGAACTGCAACAGCAAGGCCGCAAAGTGATCTGCTACTTCTCCGCTGGGAGCTACGAGAACTGGCGGCCCGACAAGGACAAGTTCAAGGACTCCGACATGGGCAAGACGCTGGATGGATGGCCCGATGAGAAATGGCTTAACCTCAATTCCAAGAACGTGCGGAGCATCATGACGTCGCGTCTAGATATGGCAGTCGAGAAGGGTTGCGATGGAGTTGACCCGGATAACGTCGACGGCTACGACAACGACAACGGTCTCGATCAGAAGAAGGAGGATTCGGCGAATTTCATGATGTGGCTCGCCAACGAAGCGCATGCACGTAATATGTCTATCGGCCTGAAGAATGCCGGTGCGATCATCCCCGCAGTGATCGACAACATGCAGTGGAGCGTGAACGAGCAATGCGCGCAATATGAGGAGTGCGACACCTATGCCGCATTCATCAAAAAGAACAAGCCCGTCTTCCACATCGAGTACCCCAAGGGTGATGACACCAACAACAACCAACTGGTCACCACGAGCCAGAAGAACAGTGCTTGCGACTTCGACGGATCCTCCAACTTTTCGACGGTCATCAAGAACATGAACCTGGACAACTGGATCCAGACCTGCTAGTCGCACCATTGATCCGCATCTAGATACTCTGTTCGATCAGCACAGGCGCCGGGAGTTTGAGATTGGGATTCCATCATCCATCTATGTGGTCTTGACTATGATGTAACCTGCCTCATCTAATTAACTTTTGACATTCATTTAATTCAAACATCCTTTCGTTAGCGACCGTAGTTTAATCACCCACACAGCCAATAAGTCTCCCTCATATATATTACCTCGTGTTCGAGCTGCCAGGACACCCAACCCGCTCCCACCACCCGACTTTATAAAAATAGCTTCCCACGGTTACAAAACTAATGAGATCATCATCTACCCAAAACATAAAGGAAACAGAGTATGACAAAAAGCAAGCCCACCCAACTACCAACCCCCATACCGCATCATGACTCTGTACTACGAGTCTACGAGTCAGTCACCTTGCTACGGTGCCGCTCCAACCGGCCATACTACACCAGCTTGGAACACCGAACCAAATCAAGAAGAGATTTTGTCAAAAGACGGTCAACAGGATCCGAGGTCTTCCGTCCCGCGGGTCATCCACACCAGGACCCAGTTGAATCGACGATGGAGAACTTCGGAAATTCCCCAAATAGGAGAAAGACTCAGTTTTACTTTACTTGGAAATAAAGGCGATCCTCTCGGCTAATAGATCAGGTCCATCTTCGGTCGGGTCAAAGCCGATTTAACTTGCACGATCAACATCCGACCGAAAGCCGAACAGCACCTAGCAGAAGCAGGGACCAAGGAACCCAGGTGGAGAGCGCAGCGGAGAGGAGGGGGGGGATTGTCTCCAAACTAGAGACAACAGGAGGGGGGGAAGAAAAAAGGAACCTTACAACAAGACTCAGCCAAAGATACTACATCGATGTGACCCAAGATCTTGCCAGATCAGAGAGTGGGTCCGCACTGCTTGTCTGGTCCTCTTTTCTGGCTTTGGGTTGTGTGAGGTGTGATTTTTTTGCCACGGGAAAGCGGAGCCGGACCATACCTTCTGAAACGAAGACAGAGAGTGAGTCCCAAGGGAATGGGTGGTATGGAAAGGGGGGAGTTGGCAGGCTTCCATGGCTCTTCCATGAGGTTTCTGTGAAGCTGCAACATCCGGGAATCTCATGAACGGTTGACCAGACAGCCACATGGCCGGTGTGTACCGGGCCGGCCTGAGCTCGACAGCGACAGCGTAAACCGGCAAGGATCATAATACCACCTGCTATTGAACACCAAAGCTGGTTCATTTATTGTTACATACATATTGCAGGGGGGTTGTCCGATGTTTGCTGTTGTGGTATTGGATCTGGAGACGGCCACGCTAGACTCAACTACATACACTAGAAGCGAGTCGCCAGGGCCAAGATTTGGAGCTTTTTATTTTGCATAATTTGTATTCGCTGGCTCCCGTGCCTATTCTTAGGTGATTTCCGCGGACTGGCCTGGTTTCATGTGATTTTAGCTTCGTTTAGGGCAGAATTGGTGTGTTTGATCGCGAGTGGGTGGGTTCGTTCGGTACTGTGGTTTTTGGGGCCCACCCTCTGGCCTCACCTTAGTCTGTTTAGACTATTCTTGCCTAAGTGGCTTAGTGTGGTTGAGCCGGGCACTAGCCACGCTCACTACACAGATTAGGTGATGTGGGATGTTACCCGACCAATCAGGCAGGTACCGGTATGTATGGTAATGTATTGGTGAGATTGAAAATGACCACCCGTACCGTCGGTATGGTCGCTGTGTAATTTCAAATGGTGTCTTTGCTACCGACAATACAGAAGAGTACTTTTGTATCTTTCAATCAGCGCTTCGATCCCCCCGATTGATTGTAAAATACCACCCCCAACTTCTGCAGTACTCTCTTCAGATATAGTGGTCTGGCAGCGACAGGAGGTGCCAGAGAAGTCTTCCAAAATTAGAAAACATGACACGACAGTGAAACATACAGTCTAGTTCAGTCAGAAATGAAGCAGTGTCACCGTGCCTGGGTCCGGTGAGCCACTTTCTAGCATATACCATTGATGCAAACTAGACGACGGGCCTCAGCGCTATTCGATATGCATAATGCATAAACTAAGAACTAGGATGCTAGCGAGCGAGTTAGTCACAAGTTCACAACCAAAGAACTGCTGAAGTCCACACCTGATGGAGCCCAAAAATCGCTAGACCTCGGAGCTAGGATAAGCGGGCGCGTGTCGCGAAAATCACCCATCACTGGCACAATCCACGACTAAAAGTGATCTGATCGGGACGACGATAAAGTTTCGGCGGACCGAAGCCAAACAATGTAGTCAAGTGGTTCCCAGTGGAGGGTTCCTGGACGCTGTCTCGCTGGGAACCGTGGATGTGCGGTGGGTGGGTCAGGCACACGACTCCATTCTCCAGCGCTAGCAGGGCCCTAGTGTGCTGAAAAGTTAGAACAGCCGCAAAAGCGACCAGAAGGGGAAAAGAAAAACAGGAGTTCGTGTTTTTTTTTTTTTTTTTCCTTCAGCGTGCTGAGAAGCGAGCGCTGTGATTTGAAATTCCCACTCCAGCTGGCGTCTTGGCGATCCCTTTGCTTTCTTGGTCCGGAATGGTCGGCAAGAGCGCGCGGGTGGTGAGCGTTTGACCGCTCTATCAATGAATGGTTCGCTTAACTCCTTCTGCAGCCAGTTCGTGTTGCGAGGGGGGTTTTTTCCTCGGCAGATCAGGTACGGGATGATGTACCTAGGTACCTTTTTTTTTTTTTTTTTTTTTTTTT